ATTCATCTCAATCTATTTATATTCCAACGTATTCCAACATCTCCAGTGTTGTGATTAAATGACAATTGAAATTGAATATCAAACAACTCAAGCAAGTGAGATAGAAACACCAACCTACTTGATACTTTATTATAGCCAAATACGTGTTTCTATAGGCCAAAAATTCGTTTCATACGAAGACGTATGAGTTTTCATTGGCCATAATCTGTTTCATGATGAAATCTCTTGTTGAAATGAACAAAATTACTGAATCGTTAGCAGATATTTGATTTGCGTGTTATTATACGGGTGTAAAAAAACATGAGACTATACCTGGTGACCCGGAATCAATTTACCCTCCTGCATCTTCGTTGCAATTTTGAAAGAATGTTTGAAATTCGTTACATTTTTCTGATTTTATGTGTATAACTTCTCTAGCATCAGACCAAATATGACCCTTCCAGTTTGACCGGAAGTGCATCGATTTTTTTTTAATACTTATACAAAGTTTTTTTTTCAACGATATATCACGATAATACTTCCAATACACAATTTAGTATGAATAGTATATATAATTGAGATTAAAAAAAATACTTTTAGTATTTTCCTACTAACGAAATATTTTCATGAAAGTGTGCTATTGATAATAAAAGAATAACATGTGAGTAAATATAATTTGGTACGAAGGCGCTGAAGGGCCACCTATACTATTTTTTTTCGAATCCCGACTTTAAAGTCGGACCCCCGACTTTAAAGTCGGGGGTCCGAGATTAAAGTCGGGGGTCCGACTTTAAAGTCGGGGGTCCGACTTTAAAGTCGGGGGTCCGAGATTAAAGTCGGGGGTCCGAGATTAAAGTCGGGGGTCCGAGATTAAAGTCGGGGGTCCGACTTTAAAGTCGGGGGTCCGAGATTAAAGTCGGGGGTCCGAGATTAAAGTCGGGGGTCCGACTTTAATCTCGGACTTCATGGATAAGTCCGAAACGGGTGTTCTCAGACTCATTCCATGATATCATATATCATTGAATTCGTCTTTCTTAGCTCTATCCAAGAATGAAATTGAATACATTCGAAAATTCCGAGAAGATGATCGGTTTGCAAAATACGTCTACGTTGTTTAATTCGAATATCCTTAATATTGACAAAATTTCAATATATCATATACAGGGTGATCCACAGTGGATGGCCTATTAGAAGTATCTGGAGATCGAAGAAACAGAACATTCTGAAAATTGGGATTCTTCGATAATTGAACATTTTCTATCCGTCTCAGATATTTTCATCAATACAGTGTTGCCACTTCTATCAGAAACAACTAGCAACTTCGCTATTTTGAATGGAGCACCCTGTATTTTATTGCATTTTTAGATCCTTCATGAAGAGCTGATTTCATCAATGCATCACACTTGTGGTCTAGCAGGAATTATTACAGAGATATAGGGTGTTCAAAATCTAGAATTTTGAATTTCAGGATTTTTTTGTGTCGAAACTATTCATTATCGTTCAAAACGGCTCACATGTCCCTATCTTAACTTTTGATTCACTATCTACTGACATTTAATTGGAACAGATACAGGGTGATCAGAATTCTGAATCTTGAAGCACCCTGTATTTGTTCCAATTAAATTCCAGTATTTAGTGAATCAAAAGTTAAGATAGGGACATGTGAGTCGTTTCGATCGATAATGGATAGTTTCGACACAAAAAAATCCTGAAATTCGAAATTCTAGATTTTGAACACCCTATATCTCTGTAATAATTCCTGCTAGACCACAAGTGTGATGCATTGATGAAATCAGCTCTTCATGAAGGATCTAAAAATGCAATAAAATTAAAAAATCTCGATTTTGAACATCATATATCTCTGTAATCATTCCTGCTAGATCCCAAGATTGATGAAATCAGCTCTTCAGGAGGAATCTAATAATGCAATAGAATTCAGGGTGCTCCATTCAAAATAGCGAAGTTGCTAGTTGTTTCTTACAGAAGAGGCAACTGTATCGATGAAAATATTCTAGTGGGATAGAGAATGTTCAATTATCAAAGTATCCCAATTTTCAGAATGTTCTGTTTTTTCGTTCTCCAGATACATCTAATAGGCCATCCACCGTGGACCACCCTGTATAATCAGTTAGTTCATAATGAAAACTGCGCATTAAAAACTTGATTCTCAAGGTTTTCATAAGACTTAGAAATACGAAAGCGTAGAAAGGCCACTGTTGTGTGTATTCTATTTTATTTCTTTATTCAGACTTTAAAGTCTGAATTCAGACTTTTTTCTCTGAATTCAGACTTTTTTCTCTGAATTCAAACTTTTTTGTCTGAATTCAGACTTTAAAGTCTGAATTCAGACTTTTTTCTCTGAATTCAGACTTTTTTCTCTGAATTCAAACTTTTTTGTCTGAATTCAGACTTTTTTCTCTGAATTCAGACTTTAAAGTCTGAATTCAGACTTTTTTGTCTGAATTCAGACTTTTTTCTCTGAATTCAGACATTTTTCTCTGAATTCAGACTTTGAAGTCTGAATTCAGACTTTTTTCTCTAAATTCAGACTTTTTTCTATTAATTCATTGAATAACACATTCACATTAGGTAATAACGAGGGTAATACACTGATTTCAGTAAGTACCTACCTTTTATGTCATTTATTTTTCATGGGGTTGATTAATTTTATTATTATTCGCAGGTCACTACGTCAAAACGTCTATAATAAATGATGTGATGCTTTTTCAAATATATTTATACCCTATATAAAAAGCAGAATATAGTTTATATAATATATATGGTGAGTCTCACTTTTCATAGGGTAGTTGACAGCATAAGTGCTGCCAAAATAGTATAACTTATGACCAAATCAATCCTTCTGATATAATGCAAGATTGATGATTAAATAGATCATCAATAACTCGAGAACTATATTCGACATTAACGATACTAACTCAACAATGGTTGGGTAGCATGGCATGCAAAGAGACTGTATTCAAAGAAAAAAGTCTGAATTCAGAGAAAAAAGTCTGAATTCAGACTTTAAAGTCTGAATTCAGAGAAAAAAGTCTGAATTCAGACTTTAAAGTCTGAATTCAGACAAAAAAGTTTGAATTCAGAGAAAAAAGTCTGAATTCAGAGAAAAAAGTCTGAATTCAGACTTTAAAGTCTGAATAAAGAAATAAAATGGAATACACACAACAGTGGCCTTTCTACGCTTTCGTATAGAAATTTGGTTATTTATTGAAGAAGATTATGAAAATAGTCCGGAAGGGGTGATCTCATACCTACAAATGTAATCATATATCATTAAACTCATCTTTCTGAGCTCTACCCAAGGACGGAATGACATTCAGGGTAGTTCATTTGTGAAAATATATGTTTTGTATTGTAATCTTTTTGCACCCTTTAAACAAACAAATGAGATTCTCAGCTATGAAGTGGAATATATACAATCACCCTATACGTACGATAATGATCGTACAGGTGTGATCCATTATTTGACATTCAGTGTACATCCAAAAGGGAGGATTTTGACCGATCCTTATGTGATGATTATCCAATGGATGTAAAATTATTGTTTGTACATAAACGTACAGGGTGTTTCTCGAGTACATGTAGAAAATTCAGGAGCATGTTGCTGACATCAAACTGATGAGTAACAATGGAAAATATTCATTTCTGTCCACATATTTAAAGAATATAATCTAGCTCCTAACTTCAGTTTCGGACTCCCGACTTTAATCTCGGACCCCCGACTTTAATCTCGGACCCCCGACTTTAATCTCGGACCCCCGACTTTAAAGTCGGACCCCCGACTTTAATCTCGGACCCCCGACTTTAATCTCGGACCCCCGACTTTGATATCGGACCCCCGACTTTAAAGTCGGACCCCCGACTTTAAAGTCGGACCCCCGACTTTAATCTCGGACCCCCGACTTTAAAGTCGGACCCCCGACTTTAATCTCGGACCCCCGACTTTAAAGTCGGACCCCCGACTTTAATCTCGGACCCCCGACTTTAAAGTCGGACCCCCGACTTTAATCTCGGACCCCCGACTTTAAAGTCGGACCCCCGACTTTAAAGTCGGGATTCGAAAAAAAAAAAGTATAGGTGGCCCTTCAGCGCCTTCGTAATTTGGTGTCAAAGTTTTTACACAATAATTTTTATGCAAACTAACTATTTTTACGATTTCAGTTTTTCGCAAATTTTGCTTTCGCTCGGCTTCGCTAAACGCTCCGCCTCGCAAATGCAAAATTCGCTTGTCAAACAAAGTGTCACTTTTGATCCTAATGAAACAATCTACTATTATTAAAAAGTTTTTTTTTTCACTTTTAATTCATTTCAAATGCTATCATAGGATATTTCGAAGTTGGTTAGATCCTCCACCCCATACGTATTGGAACACAAAATAAGAAAAATGTTCAAATTTATGTTTCCTATTTAGCTTTAATTAATGAAGATGTAATCTTCGTGCTATACCTACTTAGATTTGTATTGAACCTTTCAACTTCATATTAGTTTGTTATGATATTGAATTTCTTCCATGGGTCTAGAATCATAGCTGAAACTGCAAAATCGGACCCAACAATATATTCAAACTGATTATTTTCTCACACGTTACGAGGGAAACACAAAGAGTAATTTTTCATAGAATCTAAATTATTACATGAGTAGATCGTGAATTGAATGTATGATTGTGATATATCGTTGGAAAGGTGATTTCAAAGTGAATCGTGATCTTCAGAAACAATAGATTTTGTATTTGAAATAAGAAAATTGGATGCATGCCAGTCAACCTGAAGTGTCATATTTGGTCTCATTCTAGCGGAATCATACATTGATGAAATGAAATCGATGTACCAAATTTGAAACATCCATCCAAAATATAGCAACGAAGATACAGGAACATTGAATAGTTCGATTGCAAAGCTAAGGGGTATTGATTCAAAAATCATGTACCTGTGGAACTTTCATATTTATTAAAAAACAACAAATATAATCAATCTAATAAAGGTCTCTGTGGTAGGGTTATCGAATCAGGATTCAGCAGCATTTCCTGAAATGAAATAAAATAATTGCAAAAGAGATTTTCACAACATAGTAGTTGAGAAAAGTATAGAACCATTTCTCCAAATATTCATTAAAAACAATCCGTTATCATTTCAGTAGATATACTGTACTACTTCTGAGTCAGACTGTCAAAACCGACCCAGTTGAACTACTAATCAGTGCTATCAGAACATAAATATTCAGAATCCTTAGGCACCATTGACACAGAACATCAAGGTCAGAGCAGAGAAATATCAGCTCTGAACAGGTCAATATCAGCTCATTAACAGTACCAACTAGTTACTGACAGCTTCTGATGAACTTCGACCAATATCTGCACATTTTTTGACTTGATTCAATCTCATTTTACTAGTTTTGGGACCAGGGTTGCTCATGGAAGGGCTATCTGGTCCTCATAACTTTGACCAATGTGAAATATCCATCATGTAAAAATAGTGTTAGATGAGAACATTGCAAACCATTATCCTCAAAAAATGTGCACCAGAATTAACACCGATTCTCTGCAAGTTGTTCACCGTCTCGTACAGGTCGGGTATTTTTCCATCTTGCTGGAAGACAGCTAGAGTCCAACCAATCCCCAAAAAAGGGAACAAGAACCTGCCCAACAACTACAGGCCCATTGCCCTGTTATCAGTAATCTCCAAAGTGATGGAGAAAGCCATCACTATTGAGCTTATCAAATATCTAGAGAGCTCAGGACAATACGGCTTTCGCCACCAGAAATCTACTAGGGATCTACATTGTAATGTCTGGCACCACCATCCCCACCAAGCCCACCATATTTATGCTCGGTATTTCCATCAGCAACACTCTTTCATGGGATAATCATGTCAGATTCATCGCAAAAGCTGCTTCACAAAAACTCGGATTCTTGTTTCGTGCGAAAAGCTACTTTACACCTCAACAGCTTCCCATGATCTACAAATCGCAGATAAGGCCTGTTCTAGAATACTGTTCCCACATATGGGGTTCAGCATCAAAACATACGCTGATGCTCTTAGATTCCATCCAGAGAAGAGCCATCCGCCTAGTGGGTGACGCCACACTCACTCACTCTTTGACATCTTTGGAACACCGTAGAAAGGTCGGCGACCTTTCACTTTTCTATCGATACTTCCACGGGAAATGTTCTTCGGAAATCTCTGCTATCATCCCTTCACTAGCAATACCAGTCAGACGAACTAGACAAGCCCAGTCAGCACATCCTTTCGTTGTCAACCTCGAAAGATGTCGAACAGCACTTTATCAAAACTCCTTCATCCATAAAACTGCTAAGCTCTGGAATTCATTGCCTGAGGAAGTATTCCCAACAACATATAATCTCCAGAAGTTCAAAAAAAATTCCAATATCTACCTCCTATCCCTATCCTCCCTAGGAACGCACGATGTTCTTTGAACATTATAGGGATTCCCTTTCGTGCGCTAGGTAGTAGGTGTTACCGAAGAAGTAAGTAGGTGTTTTTTTGCTAAATATCATATCATATAATGTAACTCATTTTTGACTCGATGCTCAAATATCGAAATTTTTGTTTCATCAGCCATGAAATAACAGAAATTGGACAAGAATATCGAAACATTATTATAATATAATTATTCGCACCTTTTTTATTTGTACCGCCAAATACATATTTCTCCAATACCATCAACGGCGATTCAAATGCCATTGTCCAACAGAATGCTATAATCACTGACATCATAATGTAGCCCCAATTGGCAAAAACCTGGAAAAGATAAGATTATTTAGTTAAATCTGAACACGAACTCACAAGAGAAAATTGAGCCTTCCTTCTTCCTTTTGAAAAATTCCACTCCACTTTTAGCAAACATGGACTTCTACCAGAGATTAATATTTCTGATCATTTACATTTGGCCAAGTGGAGTGGAGTAAGGTCGAAGCATCGCCGTACATGCGCATTCAATGAAAATGAAAAATTATGTATAATACTTACTGCTTCGTAGTAACTAAAGTGCAATTTTTCTCTACGTGAGAACGTATACGAAGCAACTACTAATCCGTGGATAACATAAATACAGTAACTCAGTTTAGCACCAATTTGGCATATTGGTCTAGATAAAATCCAGTTGACGATTCCTGAAAATGAAATATACAAACATCAAATCCCATAGTGCTTTCGTAAAATACTGAATGAATTCATTTTTGAATTATCCATTTCTGAAGAATCTCTTGAAACATTTCAATTTTTATTTGCTAATTTCCACATTAGTCCAGTGCTGAAGCCTTTGAAAACGGTAAAATGTGAAGAAAAATCATAGTAGGATGGAACTCATTGAAAAATAAAAAGAATAAAGTAACAAAGATGAAAGGGAAAATAAATTACTGGTGATCTGAGGTCGGGAAGTGGTAGATGGTGAGTTTTCAAGGGAAAAAACGGTTTATCTTGATTTCCAGCAAAACTACAGAGCCTTATGAAGAAAAGTTGAATAGTAAAGATGTAAGTAATAAAGAGACCTACAACTTTTGTAATTACACTTATTTCACATAACCTCAAAATTTATGTGAAAAATTCAAATAATCGTTTTTGGTTTTTTATTTTTCTTATGCAAAAAACAATTTTTTTCACGATATTTGGTCAAAACCTACCTTTTCATGTCCAAAAGACACTGTGATTTTTTTAATTTGAAATATATATTTTTCACCTTATATTGACTTAATATCGCGAAAACACCCTAATTTTCAATCGAAAATACTCGCGTCAAAATATCAGCTTTTCAAAATAAGGGCGTTTGTTGTTCGTTGAAATCTCTTCTTTCTGATAATGTAAGAAAATATATACATTGCTATGCTAAATGTTCTCAGAAAATGCAAAGAAAAGAAAAAGACTCGAATCCGAATGTTTTTTTAATCAGTATGTACAATTTTGAGCTGTTTTGTAAAATGTTCACTTCAATTACTTGAAAAACGTAAGATTCTATCTTACATTGAAGAACAAATGAATTACAAATCCATAAATCATAAAGATTGCAAGAAACATGCGAAAATAGTTGTTATAAATATTGAAGATATAATTTAAAGGGGGTATTTCAATAAAAAAATGTGATTGCTGCAATTTTTCTTATACAAAAAGTTTATTTTTCAAATTTAACTACATTCATGTCATAGAAAATCTCATAATATATGAATAGAAATGTAAATCGTACTATTTAATTTAGATACTTTATGCTGATTATTATTATTCATAATAATATTTTTAATTGCATTTATCTTATTATTTATAAATCTTATCTTGAGTCTTGAACACTAATCACTTATTCATTACTTTTTGTCTCTTCGGTGGCATTTCTTCATCGTTAGATTCGACAAACCTTCCCGATTCTAGTAGATCTTTGACATCTTCAAGACCATCACCGTCTTCGTATCGAATATAATTCTTGGTCTGAATTGGTTCTTCATCCACAATTTCATCTGAATCACTAACTTCCTTTAAATCCTATCTTTGATATTTAGAACAACTATTTCCGCATGTTCCAAGCATTTTTTATGTAATTAAAGTGTAAATTTCACTTAATAGGTCAAAATTTTACATAGTGATTGAAAAACAAATTCTGATTCGAGTTTTTTTCTTTTCTTTGCATTTCTGAGAACATTCACTATAGTGATGTATATATTTCTTTCCGTTATCAGGAAGAAGAGATTTCAATGAACAAAAAACGCCCCGAGTTTTTTTAAAGAGCTGATATTTTGACGTGAGAATTTTCAATTGAAAATTAGGGTGTTTTTTCGATATCATGTCAAAATAAGGTGAAAAAATAAATATTTCAAATAAAAAAAAATCACAGTGTCTTTAGGACATAAAAAGGTAAGTTTTCACAAAATTGTGTAAAAAAAACTACAACTCTGTTATTTAATATTCCTCGATAGGACTTGTGGTTTTGCTGGAAATCGAGATACACCGTCTTAAAACTCCACGTCCCGACCTCAGATCGCCCGTAAATTGTTTTTCCTTTCATTTTTGTTATATTCTCGTCCTTTCTCAACGGTTTTTATCCTACTATTATTATTTTTGGTTTCAAAAATTGTCGACCCTAGTCTACAGTAGGAACAATTGAATCTACGGGTTTATAACCACGTTTGAGTTATGATGAGCACGACGATTTTTTTAAATGTAACACCCTGTATATTACACAATTTTTGAAATCACTATGGAAAGCTGAATTCAGAAATAATGATACATTCAATTTCATCCATACTGAGAAATCTTCTAAAGCAGGAGATATTTTTATTCTCAATTTGACACATTTATAAGTTGAAATCAAATTTACATGGTGATCCACGTTGACGTCCGTTACAGATTTTTCAAACGGAAATTATTGAATTCTTGGAATCTCTAGGGTTTGTATACAGGGCGAACGTTATATTCAGTGCTCTCGTAAAGTTGGGTCGAAATTGAAAAAATACCGACGACGTAATTTCTCCGACACCAATCATTCCGTATTTATGTATTTAATCTGAAAGAAAGCTAGAATGAAAATGATATTCGACGGCTTCTTGAAAAAAGTGCCACTTTCATTTCCAACGAATTCATCCACAACATTTCAAAAGCACTTGATTCAACTATATGTGTAATATATTTTTGAAATCACCTTTTCATGGAGATTCGGAAAATCGAAAAATGTATAGGGTGTTTCATTTAAAATAATTGTCGCACACGTCATAACTCAAACGTTAATCATCCGGTATATTCAGCTTCTCCTTATGAATGTGAAAAATTGAAAATAAAAATCGACCTGCTTCACGAGATTCCTCAGAAATAAATAGTTTGGCTATGAATGGATGTATTTACTACTTCACGACAGCTCTCAATTCAACGGATACCTATTTGAAAAAATTGTCGTGGACTTCATAACTCGAACGTGGATCACCATGTATATCTGAATTTCACCTATAAATGTGGCAAATTGAAAATTAAAATTGACCTGCTTCAGGAGATTCCTCAGAAATAAATAGTTCGGCTATAAATGCATTTATTTACTACTTTACGACAGCTCTCAATTTAACGGATACATAAGTATTTGAAGAAATTGTGGACTTCATAACTCGAACGTGGATCACCCTGTATATCTGATTTTTACTTATGATGACTAAAGGTGTCCCTCAAGGATCTGTTTTAGGACCAATTTTATATTTATTATATATTCAAAATATCACGAAAATTGATACACTATTTATGCAGACGATACGGTACTTTTATATGAAAATAAAAATCCTATCATTTTAGGAAATATAATAAACAGAGACTTGATGAAATTTGAAAATTGGCTGCATTCAAACCTCATCAATAAATACTGATAAAACTGAATATATGATTTTTCAACAAAAAAATAAACAAAATATAAATTTAAATCTCAGAATTAAAAATGAATCTTTGAAACAAACTAATGAGAAACAGTATCTTGGGATTTGGTTTGATGATAAATTGAAGTGGGACAAACATATAAATGTTTTGAAGAAAAAAATATCTCCTATTATTGGAGCCCTGAGATGATGTCCCAAGCTGAATAAAAAAGTTGCAAATATAATTCTATATTCTCATATACTCAGTCGTATTAACTATTTGATAAATGTTTGGGGATACTGTTCAAAAAACAATTTTAACAAAATATCTGCATTATATAAAAAGACATTGAAAGTACTATATCGTTTACCATATGATACACCAACAAATCAATTATATAAAATAACTGAATCATATTCTCATCAGAAAAAATGTTCAAAATCGAAAGACTGAAAATTATATACAATATCATAAATAAAAGATTGAAATCTAATTTTATTTTAACACGAAACAATGAAATTCATAATTATCAAACTAGACAACATGGTTTATTTCATCTTGATATCGCTAATACTTCTATAGGCCAAAAAAGATTCACCCACGCTGCTCTCTTGGAATATAACAAATTACCAGATAATATAAAAAATTGCAGAAATACAATAAAATTCAAATACCATCTTAAAAAATTTATCATTTCTGAACGAAATAGATGACTTTTTTTTTCAACTTTTGATTCATATTCAAATTGATTTTTGCTCACCAATATGAAATGATTTGTCAAAATTTAATAATTAATGTTTTCAAATATTTTATTATTCATCAGTTTATTATAATTGTATAGTTTTAGGTATTATTGGTAACTATACTTCCTTATACCAGAACTTGATTCTGACTGGAAGTAACATTTTCAATAAATAAATAAATAAATAAATAAATAAATAAATAAATGTAGCAAATTGAAAATAAGAATCGATCTGTTTCAGGAGATTCCTCTGAGATAAATAGTTTGGCTATAAATGAATTTATTTACAACTTCACGACAGCTCTCAATTTAACGGATACACATATTTGAAGAAATTATGGATTTCGAACGTGGATCAGCCTGTATATCTGATCTCCACTTATAAATGTGGCGAATTGAAAATAAAAAAACGAACTGTTTCAGGATATTTTTCAGAAATGCATAGTTGGCTATCATTTAATTTATTCAGTACTCTACGAAAGCACTGTATAATGACAACACAGAGTGCATCGAACATTTTAGAAGCGCGAAAGAGTCAATTCGAATATAGATATTTTTGAATAATAATAAAAAATCATTCAGATCTACTGGGGTGAAGCGTTGAAGAGGAATATTCTCAGATAAATTAAGAACATGAAAAAATGGATATATATATTTGAAGAAATACATTGAGAATTGTGATGAAAATATCAATTCTTTTTCGGTTTATTCAACAGAAAACAACTAGTTTCCTGGCTATATGCCACGACGAACATAGAAGTATATCTATTGAACACACACGATAAGAATTTGAAAATAAAATATTCTTATGTTGAGAGCAAAATGCCGAAATGAATCATAATTTTGCTTTGATTTTTAATAAAAAGAAGAGTATGTTTTCAATAATTTTTCCCATTGTCTGCTAAATATGGAGGAAAAATCTAGTGAGCTGGAGTATCTGGTCTGCTCAAACAAGGAAAATCACCTACAGGGTTCTGTGGCCGATACAGTAGCACCGCCATACGGTCAATCCGAGGAAACACTTATTTCAATTGTTTTCCTGTCAAACCGACATAACCTTGAAAATCGTACATGAGTTGAGCCTCCCTCAGCGGTGGCGGTAGTAGTAGTATCGATTATCAGCTTTTGATCAGGGCTCTGATTTTCTTACTTGTAATGATCCTGTAACACTTAATATAGACTGTATCCACTTATGTTGCAAAGGAATATCACTTGGAAATCAATGAATGGAGACGGTTTCACACTTTCTGGTAGGCACAATGAGAGGAGACAGAGTTTGTTACAAATTTATCAGAATAAACTATTATAACACTGGGAGCACAACACAAAACTATATCTATGAACGAAAGGAATATTAGAACAATAAGAATTGAAAAAGAATATTTTAGGAAAAAATACGAAACAAGTCACGATGGCAAGACAGCTCTTGACACTGACAACTTACATAACCACAAATTTCGAAAATTTTCTAAAAAAACGTGAAGATCATTTCGTCCGATACGGTAACATCCTCTAGTGGTCATACACTCAACTGAGCTATAGGGAAGACCAGTAGTTCCAGCTCACTAGATTTTTTCTCCATATTTAGCAGACAATGATTTTTCCTAATAGCTCTGGTCAAACTTGTCTAAATCATCAAAACTTCAACTTCTTCATTTCCATAACTGAAATCTTGTATTCGGCTGATGATGGGCTTATACAAGCCCGAAACATGTACCCCTATGTGATTAATCTTCGATCGTCGAATAAATGTTGTGGAGATGTCTTTGGGTTCCTTCATCTATGAACTTACTATACCACTCCACTTTGAGTAACCATGCAAGGACTTCTTCCAGAGATTAAACATCTGACAATTTTCATTCGTCAATTTGAATCACCGTAGCAAGGAAGGAAATATAAACCTGTCAGTCAAATCAAATCAAACGGTTGCAACAATTAGTGCTGACAAACCAATGAAAAACCGAAATCTGACTTCGTCGGAAAAACGTTTAATATAGCCTCTGCAATTCATTTGCAGAATGCTACAAATTGCACGTTCAATATTGATGATAATAATGATCAAATTGTCGATATACAGTTGATATAAAAGATTTTTTATCTAAACTTTCAGATTATTTCCGCACCCTAGAAGAAAAAAGTAGTGTACCCAAAACGTGCGTAAAGTGACTTTTCCGCATTTGTTAGGTAAACTTCTATGCCTAGAAGCATCGGATAGTACATTATTATGAAACCCTTTGAATCCATTTTTTTTTAAATCTTTTAGTAAGTTATATTTTTATATCATAATACATCATATTATTCTATTCGATTTAAGAGATAATGTCAATTCTCAATTTCAGAGGATTTTGATTTTTCATGCTCTCTTTTGGAATATTCAAAATAACAGATATAATTCAATGTTCGGCGTGGCAAATAGCCAGGAAAGTAATTGTTTTCTGTTGAATATTCAGAATAATACTATGTGCATATCTTTATATGAAGGAGAATGTAAATTCTCTACTTCAGGAGATTTTGTTTTCAAATTCTTATCGTGTGTGTTCAATGGATGTAATTCAATGTTCGTCGTGGCACATCGCCAGAAAAGTTGTTGTTTTCTGTTGAATTAACCGAGAAAGAATTAATATCTTCATCACATGGAAAATGTGAATTCTCAATGTATTTCTTTACATATATAAATCCATTTCTTTGTGTTCATAAATATTTCATTTCATTTTCATTTCATTTATTATCAGGTCACTAGGTATACATTTCTTATTATTTATAAATCGATTTTATTTCAGAGTAGGAATAGGCAGCACTCACTCTAAGTAACCAAATACTTGTTTATATATCTGAGAATATTCCTTTTCAATCCAATTAATTTCTTTATTATCCAAACAAGTACCATAAATAGCGTCACAATATTTCAAATGAACTACTGATTCGCTGAGAAAAATGTTTTTTGATTTTTCTAAATTTTGACGATGTGGATATAAAGTAACATTTTCATGATGACATGATTTTTTAATCACAAGTCTGTGTCTAACTCCAAACCCAAATTTCTAGCAACTTTGCCGCAAGATATAATATTACAATATCGATGTTCGATTTAATCATTTTAATATATCTGATTATTAGAAGATATTATGCAGATCTTACCTCCGTATCCGTGATATGAAGAATATACCATCCAACTTAATCCGATGGCCCAAGCCAACCTTGCAATGGCAACAAATACAGCTTGATGTTCCCTTGAATAGTGCGTTTCAACGAACTGATAACATACAGTAATTGCTGTCATTCCAAGCAAAACTATCACCCATATAATGAAATTCACAATCTGCGAAAAATATTCCAATTAATACCTATAACTTCTTTGATTCGGTATCCAAATATTCAATGACAGATAGGTACAGTCGTCTTCATTGAACCTGTCGCGGTAGGACGGTATCCCAAAAGTAAGGAGGTTTAGGTCATACGTTCATATGAAACTTTCTTCTTAGAATGGGTCCAAGAATCGCCTTCCGAAATATTGACATTCAATTATGAAACACTCTGTATAGTGTTATGAGTTTACAGTTGAGTACTCAGTTTTGTTTACACCGTACCCAACTATCCTGATAAGGTTTCAAGTTTATAGGGATGAAAGATATTTGAGATTTGATAGATTTATAAGTAATGATTAGTATGGGATTCAAAGTTGAATATTGGTTTCAGATTAAAAAGGGTTGTTTTCATTGTTTGATATTGAATGATAGGAAAGTTATTGGAGTTATGAGTGTTATTGAGTAGAATATTTCCTTTGATGTATTACGATGTTCAAAAGTTTAATTTTATTTCTTTAATTTGTTTGATCGATTTTTAAAGGATATTATTGAGTAACTAATTGGTTGGAAGGGTTTTGATGTTTGTCTTTTTGAGTTTTGGTAAACTCTCATTCATATATTTTCCATTCTATTTCAATCATAGTTATTCAACATTCCTTTGTTTTTCTCCTACATAATGCTAATCACGAACACACCCACAAATATTATGTGATTGTTCGCCTCTGTACAAATAATAATCACCTATTCATATTATTGAAATGGTCTTCTAAAGCAATCAGTTTGTATCTGGATTTCCCATAAAATCAACTAACAAAATAGCATCTGAGAAAATTCAGAAACTTGCACAAAAATTTGCGCGTCTAGCCTTATAGGTGGAACCAGATAATATTGTCACGAGTAGAACATACGGTATATTAGTAATTGAAGACCGGGCATCTCCAATTTTTCAAAATGTTGATGGGGAATAGGAAAAAACTTAATATTTTTGAGAAACTTGAAAAAAATTATGCTAAATGGTATGAATCTTTCAGAGTTACGTTAGATAAGCTGTATTAACTTAGATAGTAATTTTCATTTACATTGTAGTAGCTAAAAAAGGAATTGAAAAAATGGAGTTGCCTGTTTCTTGTCCCAAGAAGACAAAATTCTGAAAATATAGTCAAACTTGTGTAATAATCTTGCTTTTTTATCGAACATGGAATATTTAACTGAAAATATTGTGGACATATAGTATTTTGAACATAGGAAGAGTCGCTAACGTCTCCTGTGTCTTGAACTTCGTAAACATTGCCAGAATTTGGGTCCTCTTCATCAACAGTTATGTTTTTGGAACATATTCACTCCCCGAATCTTGAAAGGGCTCACTTCCACTTTCCGATGACATCACATTGTATTGTATGAAACAAATGATCAAACTAATCACGCCACACACGATGGAAGACGCGGGAAGGCTTGCCGCTAATAACCTCACTTCGACATCTCTCACTACACGCATACATTTCGGTGCTAAAATCGGGTAACTCCTGTAGTTGCCATACTCTAGCACCGTCATGGCCTACATTTCAGTGCTAAAATCGGGTAACTCCTGGAGTAGCTCGACTCTTGCACCTCAATGGCTCATCAGGTAAATCCTTTCCCGTGTAAACTTAATAGGACATTGTTGGATTCGCTTGATTCTTGCACCGAAAGATGCGCAAGAAAAAACTCCATATGTTAAATACAATAACCCAATTTCGGCATAAAATAGAGTTACCGGGTTCTTGCACCGAGGTCTTCAATTTCGAACCATGAGGGTTTTACAAACATAAAGTTGATCAAATCATCCGTTGACATTGAACTATGAAAACTAACCAAAGAACTCTCATGAGAAACGTGCAAGTCTATAATAAAATGATGCATGTAAATATTGGATGTGAGCACAGTTTAGGGAAATGGTTATGTCCTTAAACTGTGATGTGAGGGTTCCGAAGTTAGTCTGGTCTGGGGCTACTCTTGACTGACTCGTCGTAAGTTATTATTAGGTCTTTATATTCATTGTTGTTTATTCATATTATCTGTCATCGCTATCCATAATGTTTCATACTTCAATAAATTTTGTTATGTTTGAGAATAGTCTCGTACTTTCAGTTACCCCTAAACTATTAGTGCCTATTCGAATATTACCTCTTGTAAACTATCAAGCCAAGCAAACCTCTAATAAATCGACATGAATGGACCTACCGTCTATTTTATCGTGACAATATTATGTTATTTATACAGGGTGATTATCACCAGCCTCTGATGTGCATACTCGTGGTGTACATTATATATAAGGCGAGTTCGGCTTGCACATCGGAGTTGGGAGTGGGGCGAGTTTGGAACGAGAGTGAATCTTCGTCACGTGATATATGGAGTGAATCCTAACAAATAGGCATTCTTGAGCTAGAACAATTTTGAGATTATTTCAATAATTATGAGACAGCATCGCCAAGGAAAGTTTTAGGTACTCACTCAATTTATTTTGAACTAATATTTCATTTTTTCTTGTTATGAGGTCGCCAGTTTCGTTTTTAATAGTATTATGCGTTCTTCTTGAAATAATGTTGTTGGACGCCATTTCAAACGTCAGCGCGAAAAGATCGCATAAATGTCACAACCTATCAATTTTTGGCATAACTCCGAATGCGCACGAACCGTTCGAGGTGGGGCTTTGGAGTCGAATCTATTGACTCTGATTCACGGAACCCGAACGCTAAAATTCGCACTCCTAGGAGTTCCTAAACAATACCCGAACGCAAAAGGAGCGAATATAGTGAATAGAGTCAATAGAGTGAGCAAGCCGAACTCGCCTAGAATATACCTCTGCCATATAGCCAGAAAAGTAGTTGTTTTCTGTTGAATAAACCGAGAAAAAATTGATATTTTCATCACATAGAGAATACGAATTTTCAATGTATTTCTTTATATATATATCAATTTTTTTATGTTCATATTCATATCTGAGAATATTCCTTTTCAATATGAATATTCAAATTGGTCAGTCGGAAATTACCAAGATACAGGGTCGTGTTACTTTTTTAGCAAACTGTTTTTCACCTTGTATCTTTTCAATCGTTCGATCAATTTTCCTGAAATTTTATCATATAATCTTCTAATCGAAGTAAATTTTCTTAATTACGAAGTGTATATAACCACTTGGGGAATTTCAATCTGAGGTTTCTTAGAAAAAGGAAATTTTCGATCTCAACAAGAAAATGTTAAATAACTCCTTTGGCACATTTAAAGTACCCTCAGAATAGAATATTGCGATATCCGAGAAAAATTTATTTTATTCGAATTCTAGCACAAAAAATTTGATGACCTAATGGCCAAGGAAGTGGCCCTCCTGTCCAAATCCAACGATTTGGAAATTGATTATCTAGGTGTTAACATCAAAATGAGGCGGAGTATCATCATGTGCGAAATGTAATGAAAATGCATTCTTCTAGCAAACCAATTGATAAATTGTTTATCAGACCACACCAAACATTAATTTAATGTTGGGATGGGGCTTGTCTTACTGTGTGCGGATTTTCATTTGCTCGCACATTAGAATTCCTTCAATTCAAAATACCGTCTTGTGTAAACTGGGCTTCATCTGTAAATAATGTCCGAAAAACCGTTCTGTCCGTTCTTCTGTGGTTTGTAATCCATCAGAAAAAGGTAAGCCTAGGTATTTGATGGTCACCTCCTTCCAACCGTTGTACCTCCGTTGGATGAAGATTAAAGAAGCTAAGCCTGATGAAGATCGAAAAACAAATGGTATGTTATTTTGTCCAGAGATTTTCATGTCATATTTTTTATTCTGAATTTGAGGTAGAATGAAATAAATGGTAGGTATGTTTCTCGGAATGCAAAATTTTATTTAAAAGGTACTTTGAATGTACCAAAAGTGAAATGACCCAAGTGGGTTTGTAGAAGGTGAAGTCACAGATTGAGAATCGGAGATCAAAAATTCACAATTTATTTATTAAACAAAACTTACAAGTAACCACAGTCACCTATCATCAATTACAATCACTTGTCAATATATACAGGGTTAATAATAATTAATACCACTTCATTACATATCCCTCTCACAAATTGAGGACACACCATATCATATTAATTATTTCAACTACGGATACAATACAAAAATTTGTTATGTTCTATAACGAGCCGGTTGTACAATATTTCGTTTCGGTCTACCTAAAAGTGTGTCGGCACTACCTGAAATATCCCTGCCTACAGTTTCATCAGTTCGTATCGTTTGATCATTACTACCGGAAATATTTGTTGGTGTAGATTGTTCATTTTCGGTATTCATAATGTCATCTGCGTTAGTTATATCAGTATTATCGACATTGTCGTTGGCATTATCGATTGTGTTTGGATTATCAGTTAAATACGCAGGGTAGTGTTCTGGGTCCCCTTCTATTCATACTATATTTAAATGACATGCCATTGTTTGTTGCATGTGAATTCATGAACTTTTTTGCGGATGATACACTATTGGCATGCAGCGATGAGAACCTGGAAATGGCTATACACAAAATGAATACTACTTTAGCAAGTGTCAACAAGTACTTGAAAATGAATAAACTCAAGTTGAATGTATTGAAAACAAAAGCGATGATAATCACCACCAAATATAAATACAGCCAAATAAACTCAAAAAATATCAACCTAAACATTGATGATGAAAGAATTGAAGTAGTTAAAACAACTAAATATCTGGGATTTCAGGTAGATAACACTTTATCGTTTGATGAACATTTTGAGTATATTCATAAGAAAATTTCAAAGAAATTATTCTTTTTCTCCAGAATTTCCAATAATCTTTCAACAGAGTCAAGAATCACAGTTTACAATTCAATTGTTCAGCCACACTTTGACTACTGTTCATCTATCCTATATCTATTCAATCAGAATAAATTGTCTCAACTCCAAAAACTTCAGAATCGTAGTATGAGGATCATTTTGAAGTGCGGTAGAGATACTCCAATTACTATTATGC